ATCCTCTTCAATTTCCTGATCGAGTAACTTAGTCATCCTGATAAATCGTATAAAAAAAAAAAAAAAGAAGGTAGGTTCTCAGAAATTGAGTCCCAAGTTTCGATCCTTGTCCAATTGTTTTCCTTTGCCTTCACTCATCATAGTTTAGTGCGAGGAGAGGACTATAACGGTCCCCAAAGACACAACCTTTGGTTTCTGTTTCCACGTAGGAAAGGGAAACTTTAAGCCACTGTTTGATTAAATCATGAAAATTTCAAGAATACTCTTTTATACAAAAATGTCCTTTATTGCTTTCTCAATATTCTACCCTGGATGTCATTCATAACATTTCAGGATGTTTGATTTTTGAGTGTTTTGACATTTAACATTCCAGTGCCTTTTCTCTCAGTTTTTTTTTTTTTTTGTTGGGGTATTCTCCCTGAAATTGACTATATTTCAATTTAAATAATAATTTCATTTGACAACAGTTTGATTTTGGGTTCAGTGCTGCTGTTGGGATAAAGAGTAGGAGGGAGAAAGGAAGGAAATGAGAAATAAATGAGGTGAAGAAGAAATGAATGACTAGACAGAAAATAAAAGCTGGATAAAAAACCTCTTTAAATTTGTTACTAGCTTGTTGCCCTTGCGTTATATTTTGCACCATTATCACTATCTGTTCACCTTTTCTTCTGTTTTCTTTATCATGAGAAATGCTCAATCTTTCTTTCTCTCTACCCTTAATTTTTCTGGTTCCATTGGAGGTAATCCAACTCTAGACTTGTACTAATCCTAAGCCAACCCCCCTCTCCCTCGCCCCTTAGGAGATCCAACTACTGTTTGCAACTCATTATCTTAAGGATGAAAGAAAACAAAGCTTTACCTAACGATCCCGTATTTATCTTTTCTACTAGTTAGTAAAATTGTATGTTTGGATTCATATTTTTAAGGAATAAACCCATGTTGACTTCATGATTGTCCCATAAACGGTTACAAGCTTTATAGGTTAGTATGAGAAGTTTTGCTGTCAACGGGTACAATTTTGAATACACATATGTTTTTCACGTTCATGTCAATATAAAAAGTATGCGTAAATGTTATATTTCCAGGATGTGAATCTGGACCTTTCATCAGAGGGATTCCTGCTTGAATACGTGTTCCAAATCCACAATCTGGCAAACATATGTCAGTCATGAGAACAATACCTTGCATATCTGTAGTTCGTTGTTGTGACCTTGTTTATATGCTTATTAAACGTTTATGTTTCCTGACGAAAAATGTGTAGCTGGTACTGGTAGTTGTCATATATTAATACATGCAGCCGTTCTTATGTTACAAAAGCAGTGGACTGATATGCTTAGGAAGAAACTAGGTATGCATATGGTGTGATAACATGATGGTAATTAACTTGTTGGGTAAAATTTTGCTTAGTTAGGCATTGTGTAAATAAAAATTGTCCACCCTCTGAATCACTTCATTTAAATATGAAGAATTTGGTAGTTCCTTAAATGTTTTCTATAATTGTTCACAAATTAAAGATGTACGATTTTGGCTACAGGGAAGTTTTGCTTCGCGTGGATGCAAAAGCAAGGAGCTCCTAAGGACAGAAATTCTTCTCTTGAACGTTTTCAGGTAATAGGTTCTCTTTCTCTCACATCCGCTATCTTGTCAAATAACTATAAATACTAATCCATTTGCTTTTGGTTATTTCGGGTTTGATCTGTATGGTGACTGCCACAGATGCTCTCACAGAATCCCTAGTTTTGTTTTTTTTTTAAATCTCAAACTTCTCCTTTGACCAGTAATACTATCATAAAAGAACATGTATGCAGTGCATGGAATCTAGCTTGCCTTATATCAACCGTTTTTTTGGTAATAAAGAGGCTTGGGTTTGTGTATCTTGCCTTGGCAAACCAATATTTGCTTGCTCAACATTTTTTTTTATTACTGTAGCCTGTAGGTAGAGATCTTTCCTCTCAAGATTCATTTAACCGAGGCAATGTGCAGAATGATGTGGGGATATTTATTCCCAGAAGAAGAACAAGATTCACAAAGACGGCAAGTATGTTGGAAATGTTACTGATTTCAAATTTGTGACTGCTAGAACTTTTCAGAGGTATAAATGGTTGTCCAATTGGTCACATGCAGGAATTTTGGAAGGTTTCAACAACTGCTGGGGCAAAACGCCATTCATGCAGATCCTGTGCAAGTGAGATTCCTTCTCTTCTTTCCTTTAATTTTTTGGGCTAGTTTTTTTTATGAAACAATATGATTACCGCTTCCTTATATTCTAGATTATCATTATAACAGATTAATGGATGCCTTTTTTCATTTTTATTGCACGGTTACTTTAAATCAACATTTGATGTAATACTAGAATGGATATAGAGATCTTTTTGTTTGACCTGATTCATCTGTGCAGCAATCAAAATTGCAAAACCTAAAGACAACAGTTGGTGTTAGTCCAACCAAAGAGCTAAGAAGAACGTCTGTACTGTGGCAGAATCAGTTGCTACAGAACTTGTCTTACAGAGCATTACTCTTTTTTTCCTTGTTTTAAGGACCCACCCACATGGGAAAACTTCTCATTTGGTTCTTTTTTTATTTTTTTTATTTTTTATTTTTTATTTTTTATTTTGATATGAATGAGAATATATTTTAATATATTTCACACATTTAACACAGTATTAAAACCCACGACATCGCACGGACTCAATTTCTAGTGTATTTACTGTATTTACATTAGTTCATGTAATATTATTAATTGCACGTCACCTATATGTTTTTTTGACATCTTATTTTAGTTCCTCCTGAGCCACGTGTCACATACATGAGTGAAGGCCAAGATGCCACAATATCATGTGGTATTGTGGTCTCGTACATGATCATGAAAAGATGAATAGATCAGTAATATAATTCTCAATAACATTAAATAATATTCACTACCTTGAAATTACATAGTTAAATTAATAAAAAGAGCAAAAGAGAGACGAGGCTCACAATACGATTTGGTATCTTACAAATCAAAATGTATGAGCTAGCCGCCACCAGTCGCCGGTGAAACCAAAGTGCCTACGTACATAACCATTTCTTCACGCCCAGACGAAGACGAAGCTCTCAATTCTTCAACATCAGAATTGTCGAGCACATTCCTGCATGTATCTTCCTTAGGCATATATAATACCAAGTCACCTCGATCCGATTCCATCAAAAGTGCACCATCGTCGAGGAATAACGGATTCAACGACCACACATTAGGAGGGTAAATCTCCGGGCGAATTTTTGCGAAAATAGTCCAGGATTGATCGACCCCATATTCCATCATCACCCATATGGTAAGGCCAGTGTCCTCAAAGTCAGGAAGAGTAATTGTGGAAGAATGGCAGCAGAAAGTGTGAAAGAAGAGACGATTTCCAATCGTCCCCACTCCCGCCCATTTATATTCTTTATGCCTAATAAAGGAAAACGAATGAAATTTCTCCTGTGTGAAATCAAAGGACCTGATTATTGTCCCGTTATCGTGTCTCTGATTCCAATGTAGAGCTCCATTTAAGAAGCACCCTCGTCCATCAATACCAAACGAGGCCGCAGGCTTGAGGGAGTCTACAACAATCTTCCATGAAACCGCTTTGAGTGAGAAGATTGCAGCAAATCCATCTTTGGCACTTTTACCGCCCAAAAGGACCTTGTAGTCTTGTGGTGGAATCGTAGCCGAATCCGTAATAACATGGCCTGAAACAAAACCAATCAATGTCCGGTAACTTACGGGCTGTTCTGGTACTAGGGTTCCACAAGAGAAGTCTTATCTTTTCGTAGTATTCTTCATAATATGCAATTGGAGGGTTAAGTAGTAGGCAGATGAGACCATTGCAAGAACCCACAAGTGATGAATCGTTGAGCCTAGTATCACCTGGAAATTCAGCCTCAACGTCTCTATGGTTGCTTCGTATCGCTGATGAAGAGGCAGAGGCGCAGGCGGCAACATTCTTCTTCGGTGATTGGTAGTCAATCAGTAGGGGAGATACAGAAGAGAGAGAGAGAGAGAGAGGGGGGGGTGCTGGGGGCTGGTGGTAGGTCCGGTTTCGTGAGAATCAGGACATTCTTGTTGTTGTCGTTGGTATGTGCTCGGTGCTTGGCCACGAACTGGGGAGTAGTGATTAAGGCGCGCCATGACTTGCATACACAACGGAATCGGAGGAGAGATGACCGGTAGCCAAGAAAGTATCTCGACGATTACATCGTCGTTGTTGGAGGACAAGATCGGCAATTCTCCATCATCACCCGTAGAAAGCGAATGGCTAAAGTCTAGTACGTATTGATCGTTAGGGTTACAATATAAATGTAAATATATAGATATAGATATATATTGTGTGTGTGTATTAGGAGTCATATATTTGATAAGAGTCCGATTTGTATTTATTCTTCACAGGGATATATATATATATATATATATATATATATATATATATATAAAAGAATAAATACAAATCCGATTTCTACCAAATATAGGACTCCTAATATATATACACACAACAATTTATATTAGACCAAATATCAAATATAATTACTTTTTAACCTCTTGAGAGCCTACTGATTCCAGAACATCTCATCCTATTCAATTTCCTGATCGAGTACCTTAATAATCCTGATAAATGGTATAAAAAAAATAAAAGGTAAATTCTCAGAAATTGTGTCCCAAGTTTCGATCCTTGTCGAATGATTCGGTCAATTTCGTTACCTCTTCCCTCGGGTGGCGCGAGATGTCCGATCAAGAAACGTATTTTTGGCATTTATGTAAGGAAATTAATAAATACTCGCTACGACCTATTTAATTTGATATTCACAATATATAAATATGAGATTGATAGTAGTAGTAATAATGTAAGGTGAAATCAAACTAATGAATCGTAGTGGGTACCCATTAACAACTCGATGGATCAATTTACCACCTCTAATACCGTCCCCTGACAAGGTGATTTCATATGTAAAAATGTATACATACACAATTTGTCCCCTCACAAATCTATACTTAATCTTGTTCATTGATTCTATTTGATTTATTCAATTTGATAATCGGAAATAAAGGAGCGTATCTGACCACCTTGTATATAATTAAGATACAAAAATAAACTGAGCCTACCAGTCATCAGTTGGGTGTAAGTTTATGTGATGATCTCAACGGCCCAACATTTCAGTAAACTAGATGCGACCTAAATAAATTACAAACAATATTAGAATATGCTTAACACACTCAACCCACATCTCTAATTCCAACTCTTGTACACAAGAAAAAATATAAACATCAAATTTTCAACCACCACCGGTTTATCTATCGTCATCTGAAAGTAGCAATATGCCTCCATTCACAAGATCATTCCAATCAGAAGATCCCGGGGTTCTTTGCAGATTAACTCGTAAACTCCCTAAAATGACTACTTACGACGTTCAAAAACTTTCATCTGTATGTTGCAGAAGGTCACGAGAGGAACTGATGCGGCATCCTGGCATCAATTGGCTAACAAATCATCACCTTCTAATCAAAATTAGTAGTGATGTCTAAATCTGTATCCGCAGGATTTGCGAGCTCAGCCAGAGGCTCCTGCAGACACCAAAACTTCAACATAAGATATTGCACATTAAAGAGGCCTCATTTTGTTCTGGAATAGTGGAATGACAGATAGACCAGGACCAAAATACATTTAGGGTATAATGTTCAATTTCTTGATTGTTTAGCGGAATAAGAATATTAGCACAAATTAAAACGTATCCATATTATCATACCTGCTCATCATTCGCTGAGGAAACAATCCCCATCGGATAACTGTTCGTAAGATCTTCAGCGGTTTCATGCAAATCCTGCAGCATGGAATTACATCACAACACAAAATAAACACAAGTTTACAGGTTGATCTGATTAAACACAATAACTGAGGATCCATGGAGTTATCTGGTTAGTTATTTCAATAAGCTACGTGTATATTGTTGAACAACACCGAAAGTTTTCTGGCCAGAAAATATCAATGCTCCTCCTATACAGTAATAGTGAGCAGAGCAAATAAACATAAAATATTTAGGTATCAATTCATGGAAGATGGATGGCAACTTAGAATTCAATATACAGAGACATCTATGAAAATTTCCACATGCTCATTGGTATCTTCAAGTCTAACTGAAATGTGCATTATGAAAATTCGAATGCTCAGAAAATGGTTTGAATATTTGTGGTCCAAGGTTATCTATGTCCGTCAACAAAAGACCAAGTGCTCCGTAGTCTTCTATTAATCATGGACTGTGCTATAAAACTGTGCTAAGTATGCATAACATATGCATTTGGTAGTCAACTTTCACATTACATAACAAAAAAAATACAGAAATAAATATAGAAGAGCTAGAACCTTAAATGCAATGCATTCCTCGTCATCCGGGTTGACAGAAGCATCATTGGATCCTTCAGTAACGTTTTTTGAAAGACCATCAAGAATGCCCTGCGTACACCATGATTATTAGGCATAATAGAATGAGCTTAGCAGCTTATACTTCATGCAGGAAGATAATGGTAATAGGAGAGAAAAATCATACACGCTCATCCTGGTTTCTGGAGAATTCTCCTTCAACAACTGAAGGCTTGACTTCAGTCGGTGTTCCCTGCAAAGGTCATTTTTGTTATTGCAAAAGATTGGTCATGTTAATCGTAGCAACACAAACACAAGAATGAAAAAATACTTGGGGGTAAACAGTGTATAGAGGCTGGATTTCTTTATATGAACTATCAGCCAACTTACAACATAGAGGAGAAGAAATAAAACATTTAGCAACCACTTGAAAATCAACTCTACTTCTAAAATAGAAGAAAAACCCATATTCTTAAATGTTGCACATACAGGTTCTATATTGTCCATGGTAAGGTTCCTTCCACCCTTGCTGAGATCTCTCAATGTTCCCTGTACAATCAATAAAGTGGTGAAGAAAATGAAAGTTGCTTAAAAGACAGTAACAGATATTTGTGATCATAGCAATAATGACAATAAAGATCAATCTGAGATACATTGAGAGTGAGAGAAAGAGGGTCTGTGGTCTCGACTTTGTATGTCAAAAATGTAATATTTGTACAGTACAAAAAAGTAGAATAAACCAACCTTATTCGCCCACATAAGACCACATGCATTACATAAAGTTCTTGGCCCAGCAGGTCCACGGCGCATTGCAGGAGTATTATTTTCACTAACTCCACAATGCTGACATCTCCGTACGCTGAAAAAACACAGCAGAAACAGGACAAAGCGTTGAACACAACATTATCAAATGGAAAACTTAGACCATAATTACACATCATTCAACAGAGGAAATCAAAAGAACAGAATTAGCTTGGAACTCACACAGTTTCTGGTTGAGGAGTGCCATCTTGAAGACAACTCTGAGTCGAATCCCAACTAGAAGCACCTGAAGTTTGTTTTAACGATGCAAACTGTCCATTCTTACGAAGCATCCTAGCAAAACAATAAGATAACAGAAAGAATGACACATCTTAACACCATAGGACCATGGAAAATGTAAACAAAAATATTATTAATTTGTGAAGTGCATGAATAATGAATATCCTATCTTCCCAGTTGTCTTGTTAATGCAAACAAATTTTGAATACATAACTAACATCAAAATCAGCATAATCAGATCTACACTCCACAAGCAAAAGCACAAATTTCCCTAGAATTAAGATGAATTGCAACTAGATGCTTAAACAAAGACATAAAGACGAAGCAAAAAATGTGTGTGTGTGTGTGTGTGTGTGTGTGTATTTATCCAAAAGCAATCCAATCCACCTTATCCGCAAAAAAAACTATTTTTTCTTCTTACATACAATCCAATACAGCACCACCAAAGAATGATCACCATTTTATTGACTCCATATCGTTCTCTTTGTGGTGTTGACTTTGTACTTGCTTCTTAATCTCGGGGGTGTGTGGGTAGGGGTTGATTTTAACACAAGTTCGTCTCCAAAAATTGCATTGGGGGATTATGCATGATTATGGTAAATTTAATAGGAAAACAAAAGAGATTAGATTGCTGGATGCTTAGTTTACTTGGTTTAATCTTATGAATGGATTTGTGGACCATAAAGCAAATTTATTTCTCATCACACCATTGGGAGGGAAGTCATCCAAGTGTTAGGCAGGAAGCCTTGGGTACAGTTGTCTCAGACCCTTGGTCTACTATTTAAATATACAGCTTCATTTATGCGCGCCGGGGGGTGGGGGGGGTTTTGTGGCGGCACTACCATTTAGGTTTGAGAGGTAATTGCACCATAGATCTTTTACGATACTTTGACACTTTGGTGCGAGGAGAGCCGAGTTCAGGGTTAGGAAGGGTATATGTTCATTGCAAAACTGGATCAGAGAAACTTAACAGTTATGCTAAAAACAGTGAAATAATTTCCAAATTACTACATGCTTAAACAAAAAGGCAAACATCTACTCAATGTTCAACCAAACTGATTTGAAATAAATCAGTTAAAGAATACAGATTGACTCAAACCCAAAAAGTAATAGTTACCTAGGCTATTATTCAGTGTATAAAATATTGACTATGTTCAAGAACCATCTCTAAGGAGACAGAACATCAAGAGAATGCTATAATGGAAAGATACACATATCAATGGTTTCAAGTAACTAAAGTAAAGATCAAAATGCATTCAGAATGTAAGAACTGTTGATGCAACTGAAAATATATGCATAAAGTATTATAATTTACTAGGCATTGCCACATGAAATTTTAATCTATGATTGCACAATAAATGATTCTCTTTTCAAACAAATCCCCCATCCCCGAAGAAATTAGTTGAACCCAAAAGCACTAGTTAGTAGTTACAAGAAAAAAGGACAGAAAGAAAGAAGGGTCCTCAATTCGTCTTACCTCTGTGCAACCTCTTTACGCACAGTGTACCTAATTTTCTTGTCAAAACATCTCTCCTTCCGCTTTTCACGAAACCTTACCAGGGAAGCTATTCTTCGCGAAAGATTTGAACGCTTTGGGGTGTCACCCACACCCTAGAGATTATGGAAGGCAACACATGAACATAAGCACAGAAGATGCATTGAAATTGGTCTCATTAATGTCAACATATGAATTACCCTTGGATTCTGATTGTAAGACACTTCCACTGTGGGCACACCAGTTGGTACATCACGTCCTCCCAACAGCAAGAGCACTGCTTGCACCTGTTATATGGAATCCTAAATCTGAGCCTTCTTCCAAAATGGGCATAATCCAAACCAGCAAACGCATTTTATTGTAAATTTAGTAAACAGATGGCTGTAAATTTAACAGGCCAACTTAGAAAGAACAGAAACAGACAAAGACTTACTTGGCTTCAACTAGTTGAAGGGATTACCATATCTATTCACTAGTTATAATGATCCAAGTGATGGAATAGAAGTTCATATTTCATACAACCACACTATATTTTCCTGCCAATAACTTGTTGCTTCACATTGGTTTAGAGAGATTCATGAAAGCATACTTTCATTCTTCTTCCAGAATATTTGTTTAAAAACCTCGTCACAGGGGAATCCATGCGTACGATAATTTCCATATTCATTTCATACCCATAATACCAATTTGATAAAACTAAACAGCACGCCTATTCTAAGGGTCTTAATCTTAAGGACAAACAATAAGTGTAGAAACCGAATCGTAATCAAATTTTAAATTTTATCACAAACATCAAAACTTCAAGTCCCATAAACTCGTATCCCTCCAACCCAATCCAAGTTTCGTTCTTTCCTCTTTAATTTTCAGTTGGAACAGAAATGAATTTATATCTTTGCAATTACGCAGAAAAATACAAAACTCAATTACTAAAAATTCAGCACAGCACAGTGGCGCAAGCACAATATGAATATTTGGGAAGAGAGAAAAATTGGTTCTTGCTACAATAAAAATACTCAAAACGAAGATGAGAGAGAGACCTTCTCGGGTGTAACAGCAGGGAAGACATAGACCTCGCCTTCAAAAGACAGAGTGAGCTCGCTAGTCCTGGACGCCATGCCCGCACCTCCTCCTCCTCCTCCTCCTCCTCCTCCTCCTCCTCCACGCTCCGCAACGCTGACGGGGTTCACATGCACCTCTTCCATGTCCTCCATACCATCATCACCACCATCTTCGTAGTCACCGTCATCGTCTTCTACCTGTATTGGACCCGTCCCGTGCTCCTCAAATGGTCCAGCTTCCAGAGGCTGTGGATTGACGGCTGCCATCCAAATATCCCCTTCACTAAACCCTAACGCTCAGCCCCACCGCCTTCTCCGAATTCAAAACCCTAAACCCGTTCCACCGGAAACCCCATAGCCTCCGTCGCAAGGTAACAGTGTAACAATTTTCTGAAACAAACCCTAACCCCAAACCCTGATAGTAGCTAATAAAGCAGGAAAATTTCTGAGCTCGATGAAGAAGAAGAAGCTTCCAAAAATCAACGAGAAGCCGAAAAAAAAATAGCTAAGATTTGCAGGGCGTGCCTCTGTGTTTCCTTTGTGACCCGCAAATGGGTAATAAATTATTTTCCCAAAAAATAAAATATTCAAAAAGCCGAAATTTATATTTTCCTACTTTTATATTCCCTTTCACAATTTTTGTGTGGTACACTTTTTAATTCGATAACCTGAGTAGTAATTTTCTTAGTGGAATGACGTTATTCTGACATAACGATCTGAAGTCATTTTAACGTTATAACTAAATTATTTTTTCATCGGATAATATTAAAAATATTAAAATTTTAAATCAAATAATATGTCATCAATACAAAACAAATACGTTAATTGACATTAAGTCAATCGTCTACAACCATATCATTTGATTTAAAAATTTTGATCTCCCTAATATTATCATTTTCCTTATCATCTAACAATTTGTTTAAAAAATTCATTTGATTGGGACACCACTTAGTCGTTCGTGTGAATTACATAAATTAACAACTGGTTACGAATTGTTACTTGTTATGATAATTGACAATTTATTTAATACTTAAATGACTAAATCATCTCTAAAGTAAATTTGTAAAAAAATATCTTCATACTATGATAAAGAGAACAAATGATTCTGACTATAATTTTAAAACAACATAATATTGGCACGATATAATGACTTATTTTAGATAAGGGGTATAGTACTATCTTTTCGAGCATATGTCTTTCACACATTTATGCTAACTTATATTGTTCGATCTTCTTCAATAAATTTGATCATGATTAAAAATTAGCAGGATATGGATAGCACCACTCGGTTTATATTTTGGTGTAGGGTAAGTATCTAGTGTTGCGCGGGAGTTGGTATTAAATTTTGATTGCTTGGATGGAGATGGGGTGGGGTCCATGGCCACATGCGGGTGCTTTCTGGTGGGGGCCGGGGTGATGAATGAGGAAACAGCTGGCGGGACCCAGATGCAGTTGATGGGTGTCGGGAATGTAATCTAACGGCTCGTGATGGTAGGCATGGGGTTAGTGATTGGGTTTGGAAAGTGGCGTGGATTATTTAGGGAAAAATGCAGAGTTGGGGGACTGGTGTGGTGTCCTTATAAGGAATGGACTAGGTTGGCCATCATGGTCATGGCCAATTGATCCAAAAAGGATAATGTTGTACTTGCAATTATGATCTGTCCACACACTTTTAGGAATATATGGTTGTTAGAGCACAAAATTACAAAACTAACTAATAATTCATCACTTAATACTAGTATATATTCTTTCAGTAGCGAGTGAGAAATTTTAAGTTCAAATCTCAAAAACAATGAATTCATAACCTATTTATTATTTTGCCCATTAGTTTCAACAATAACAATGAAAAATTCTTAATAACAACAATGGAAATTATCAGAATTTTCCTAGAAAATAGAGAGCGCAATTGTCACAAATTGCTTCCCATTTTCTACCAAGATTTGAATTTAACCATCATAATTTATTTATCATAATTCAGCAAACTAGAGACCAAATATTTTTGATATAGCGATATACTTACATTAAGGCACGAGAGAATAAATGGGTGTTGAATTGGCCATTCTCCGAGAGAATAAATAGGTGTTGAACTGGCCATTCTCCTATGAAATTCGAACCTTAGACTTCTCACTTACAAGTGAAGAAAAATATCATTAAATTGTAGTACTATATAGCAAAGATGAGAAATGTAGTATTGTCATAAAGCAAGCTCCAAAATCCAAAATACGCCATTCATTTTACTTATTTTTTAGGCATAGGGAAAAATAGCAATACAGTACTTAGGCTCAAACTGTTGCCTCACAATTGATCAACTTTCTAGCATACATTGCCTTTTGGCCCCTTGGATGGATGAATGGACTACCCTCTAACCATAATAATTTGATTTGAATTCGCTTTTGACGAAAATCAAACCTAAGACCTTTCACAGTTCATATAAACAATTACACATTAATGATGTACAATGTACTAAAATATTAAATAGTGAAATGGTTTAGGTAGGTTTTGTATCCTCTCAGCTGGTGTCAAGCAGAGTCAGTATCAAAACTCAACAAACAAAATCAAAATGAAAAAAAATAGATTACTTCTTGTATTGATCACGGCACTATTATAGCTGTACATAAAGATCGGACAAGCCGAATGAAAATTCTGGGAAAGCCTACTTGAATGATGCCGGAGACAACGTTGGCATTTTAACGAAACCTAGTTTTCAGCAACTAAAGCCGAGTTATCACCATTAGAGAAGGGAACAAGATTGTTGTGTGCATCGATAGCAGTTACGCTGTCCAAATCTTTAGTATCAGATTCACCTCCCTGTTTTTAATATACATAAAAGAAGGGCACAAGATTGAGCAGAGATAATGGAAAACCCATTCTACACATAGCAATACCAATTTGTTTGATGTAATGTACTCAGAGACATGGAAGATGGAACACACACCTGCTCAGTTCGTTTGACATCATGGCTTCTCTTGGAAAGTTCCCTCATGGAACCCTGCAAAAATTTGATGTAAATTGTATGAAGCGTGGATCTCCGGTGCAAAAATACTAGGTTCGCTTATATGGCGGATTTACAGGTAATGCACAAAGAATGCCTGTAGTGTATATTCTCTTGAAATCTACGTCTAATGAATTCAAGGTCGAGAAAAACTATCAATCTTAAAATTGGGAGCTAAAATGTAAATTAAATATAAAATAACACCTTTGAATATTTTATGATGTAAAAAAATTTTACTTGCTAATAGCCACAAATAGAGCAAATACATCAAATGGTGTTAAAACCACACAAATCCATGTTATCACCCTTTATTCTTTATCACCTCTCCCAAGTCCCAACATATATTTATTCTTGATTTTTTTTTTTTTTTTTTTTTTTGTACAGACATTACCAGTTCATGCTATCACGTTTGAAGAATGAATAAATCAAGAAAATTCCATGTAATATTCCTATTTAACAGACGACAACTCTGGACTCAGAGTCTCCTATAGCCTTAGTTGGAGACTTGGGAGTTTTTCAGAGGTCAACTCTTCAGACCTCTAAACTTTTGTTAGTGATTCATGGAGCACAAACAAGTCAAGATTAAATACAATATTAATTTTTATCAAGTAAATATGTGGCTGGAAGAGGGCAAAGGATCCATAAAGAAGGAAAGAGACCATAATATTGTTGCAATAAAAGAAATGAAGTGATTAATTCATCGCTAGAGAAGATACAGACCCTGTTTGCCCAAAAAAGCCCACAAGCATTGCACAGAGACCTCGGACCAGATGGGCCGCGCCGCATCATTGGTGTGGACTTTGAACTTATTCCACAATGCTTGCAGCTGGACGGGTAAAACATGCAAATCATAAGAGGTGCAAGAATAGTTAGTCACAGGTAAGACGCATAAAGTATAAGAATGATAAAAACAAATATAATACGCCTTTAGAAATAGGAAACAAAAATCTAGTACACAAAAAATAAAAAACCCATCCACCAAATTCTTATTTTCTTTTGTTCCCTTAAGATTACGAAACTCTACAATACTGCATAGACTCACAAGGTTTCTGCATGGGTATCTTCCTGCCCCGACTCCTGGCCATTAGACCAGTTACCATCTCCATCTGACTTTTTGAAGGAAGAAAATTGCCCCTTGTTTCGTTGCATCCTGATTTATATACATGAATCAAACATTTAATGTAAAACTTAAACAAAGAATGAAGCATAATGAAACAAAAGAAAGTAGAGATCTATAACAATAATAAGCAACAGACGAGAAATCAACAGAATGTACGATGCTCATCATATCCTGCTTTCTTCCTTGGACCAATTGTGTACAAGCGTATTAAATGAACCTGTACAATACAGGAGATATATTTTGCGTATGGTTTTTTTTTCATGGACTAATTGAGGCATTCTCTCCTTTTCTGGATTAAATTAGCTTATTGTCATAATAATGTGCTCCATATAATTGGTTCCACATAAGTATGAAAAATCTCACCATGTGACATTAATTGGTAGAGCCCTATTTATAAATAGAAAGCTAGCTTTGTGTAACAAGATATTTGAGATAATATTGCTCAAACATTATGCATAGATTACTCACATGAGTCATGAGTGTAATAGAATGACGTAAAAGGTTAAAAGCCTGAACCATGCCAACAATTAAGTAAGGAATCAAGATCCCTATGTGGGATTATAAACTATGGCAGAGTCCTAATGCCAATTTTTAAATCATTATTCTGGACCTGAATTGTTAATCCATAAATCTGTAATCGACTTGGTTTTGAAAAGATATGTAATATTATTGTTGAAACTGTATACAATTAAACTTATAAAAGGAAGCCTAATTCATTACAACACAACTCTATCAGCATAGACAGCACAGGTACACGGCTATCTTAACCCCCAAAAAAGGTTGTTTGATTTACACTAAACTGCAAACACTTAACATCACAGTAGACCAATGAACAAGGTAACAGAAAAGAATCTCTACTTTTTCAATTTAACAGGCACACAATTATATAGACTACACCACCTGATTGCAATTCAATAAGCACATCCAATCAATTCATACATTATACCAAAGGAATTTGAGCAGAAGCATATTATATAGACTACACCACCTGCTGCAACTTTTCTTTCTTAATTAAAAAAACGAACCTGAGTGCTACTTCCTGACGAACACCATATCTCACTTTTTTGTCAAAGCATCGCTCTTTTCTCTTTTGCCGAAACCTAAATAATGACGCTGCTCTGTGAGGTTGACTACATCGGGGAAAATCTTCTGTAGCCTACATAATATGGAGTACAAGAAAACACACCATTATAATATATTCACATACGAATAGGATGCAAAAATTTTCCAGTCTAATGAGATACCCTCGGATTCTGAGATGCCAACTCCGTCCCTTGAGCGCTAGGCGATAATTCATTTCCTCCCAACAGTAATAACACCGCTTGAACCTTCAAACAACATCAAAATGCACAAAAAAAATAGTAACTGAAGAAATTTAACTATAATCATACTAGCATGGTGTTGCTCAATGAATCAATTTTTATGCCTAATTTAATAAATATTCAAACTTTTCGTATTACAGAGCTCTATTTTCCAGCAACCAACATTTTGTTGTAAATTACAGAACATCATCATTCACAAGCTCTAAAAAACCCTAAATGACCAATCAAATTCGAATAAAGTTCTTACCTTTTCCGGCGTAACCGCGTCAAAAACAAAGACCTGGCCGCGAAACGAAAGCGTGAGCTGGCTGGAGCCGTCGTAAGGCTGACCACGCAATTCGGAGCTAGCGGAGCCGCCCTGAACGTAGACGCCGTCGGAGCTAACGTCCTCGACGACGACGATGCCGCCGTCCTCGAGCGTATGGGAATCGTATTGAATGTGGGCGTTGTCGATGGAATCGGCGGCGCCGGTATCGTCGTCGTCACAGGCGGGGATCGGGTTGGGCATCGTCATGTCCTGCGAGTGTCCGTACATTGACATTGAATGATGCTCACGAATCGGATCGATGGTCGTTCAAGCATTACACAGAGGAACCGATCAATGTGTGAAAACCTAACCCTAACCCTAGCGCAAAATCAAATCGCTGCTTTCAGTAAAGTGTTGGGGTTTTGGGGAAGAGAGAGAGAGAGAGAGAGAGAGAGAGAGTGTGGGCACAACAGGTATGGCCGGTACAATCGCTGGCTTCAGTAAAGTGTTGGGGTTTTGGGGAAGAGAGAGAGCGAGAGAGAGAGAGAGACGAAGTGTGGGCACAACAGGTATGGCCGGTACAACGAGAGGTCCCCCTGTTTGATGTCGATAATTACGACGTATGCCCTTTCACTACTGGGCTTCGTGGGCTTGGCAGGGAGAGAGCATTTGTGGGCTAACTCTTCTCTTAATTTGTGTAGGCTTTGGCCCTAATTCTTAAATCCTTGGACTGGCCTTATTTTTGTCCCACTTGGAGTGCGGGCTTTGGTTTAGAATTCATGCCGCGTCTCCCAAGCCTAAAATGGCAGTTTGGGCCTTGATATGCACTTGCATTTGCTTTAAGGAAACGAATTGCATTCGAGTGAGTGGGGTGAGCTTGATGATGTTTCATCAAGAGTTGGTTGTTCTTTTCAGCGAACAATAAAGCTGAAATCAAATCCAAACTTAGTAAAGTTTTGAGGCCTATATTGTTTCGCAGGACAATTGAGGCATCAAAAGTTGAGTAGGTTCTCTTCAGGAGATCATGTTCAGTCAGTTCCTTCTCAAAGTTTGAGAAGTGATCGGATTCGACAAACTTTAGAATTATATCATTCATAGACTTAGAATCTTGGAAGAGAAAATGCTAACAGTCGTATCTTGCCTTGGGCCTATACTGTTTGCTTTTATTATTTTTTTTGTGTGGAAAAATTTGGGAGATATGTTGGAAAGAAATGTGAAAGAGATAGGGAGTGAGTGAGAGATAAAATATGGGAGTAGAGAGAGGCTTATATCTTATAAAAAAAAAAATAAATAAAAAAAAAAAATTTAAAGATAAGCTATGATGACATGTGGATAAGGAAAATAAAAACAAAATTTGGTTAGTGCATATTACATTACTGCCCCTAATTTTTTGTATACCATTTTTTATATAAGTTTTAAGGAGAAGTACAAACTTAAAAGGAAGATTACCAATCTCCTCATTCTGTTCGGATGAAGCCACCAATTGTGAGCAAATACACTTATAAGCATAGCAACATTTATATTTGTGTCCCTATGGCATATTACCCACATGCCATTGGTGCCAATCACAGAAATTGTCGCCGACCACCTTCATTGTGGTCGAAATAAAGTTTCGTTTTGTGAGTTTACTGTTTGTACATACATACAGAACAAAATTAAAGAACTTATAGAAAATTAATTACTTAATATGTTTTTTTTGAAAGTCACTGTTGGACAATGACATTATGGTCGGAAATTTTGATTAACCAGTCGCACGAGAAAATTAGCCAGTCGACTAACATGGTAGCTTGAGCAGTAATCATGTAACTATTTTAAATTATAGCAGTATTTATAAAATTGTAGGTAATGGTCAACACGATCATGACGTTTATTTTATTGTCGCCATTGATGTCTCATGGGCACAAATGCAAATGAGGAAGTCGCAGCAAATCCGGCTACGTCTTTTACATGGTTTGTCCACTCCCTTCTTAATTTAATGTATATTGGCATATGGACACACACAAAGTGTGTAAATTTTTTTTTTTTATATTTTTGTTTTTGAAATAGAAGGAGAGAGGAAGAGAGTGACAGAGAATGTGGGAGTCGGAAATTTTTTTATTTTTTTTATTTTTTTTAGATATATGTTAGGATTACATGTAGGTGAGGTTTTTGAAAAAAAAAAAAAAAGCAAAATTTAGTTATGTGAAATTACATTTCTGCTTCATATTTCTTATTAATGTTCTGTTTTAATTAGAGGGTTAAACTGACAATTTTATGGAATTTTAATTGACAATGAGTGTTTTATTAATTAATAGAGATAAGATTGATGTTCTCACAACTCCTTGATGTTGTGAGTTTAAACAACTATTATATCTAATATCTTGTTTAGTTTTTGTTCTTAGATGCTTTTCCGGATTTAACGTGAATTAAATTGTTTATTTGACAATATTTGTTGCATGCATGACACTGTGGCATACGTGACGTTGGTGTACAAGAGAGATTGTTTAGGATGATCAGGATATGAAGTAGTACATCATGTGTTATTTTATAAATGGTATGATATATGTATTAAAAAATTGTTAACTTAAAAAATAAAAATTCTCATCACTTATATAAAAACGCGTTGTGTACCACGTACCCGTGTTCCGATCACAATAAAAAATTTCTCAAGAGCCAGAGTGTCTCTTGGAAAATATTAGTATTTAAGTTTATTCTAATATTTGAATTTTGGTCGTTAGTGTAGGATTTGAGTTTAGCAATCCGAGTTAGGGTTTCTTAGATTCAGTTCTTTTTAAGTAGGGCTTGTATATATGATAAACAAGTCGCACACAATATAACTTCTTAGAGTTTTGTAGCCACCTTGGCTTTTGTTTTTTCATTGATCAAATAATTGTAGTAGTTTGTTTAATCATCGTAGCTTGTTCGTATGGTCGTTATCGCACTCTGATTTTCAACTCCTGTTTGTGACTACTGATTAATTTGGTCTGTTGAGACGTGAAGCGAGGTTCTACTTCTTTTTTATCGGTCTCTGGAGAATCATCATCCACTACCGGAGCTACGACCAGTTTTATTATCAACGATCCATATCTCTACCGCATTGCATCAAAAACCATTTTTAATAATTGTTCACAACAAAAAAAGGGAACGATTGACTGGGGGTGACGGTGGTTTTCTGAAATAAATATTCACAATAAAAAAAGGAAACGATAAGGAAAAAACGGTGGAGGTGATGGGGAAGAAAATAGACAAACCATCAAATAAAAATAAAAATAAAAATAAAAATAAAAATCTCAAGGAGTCAAGTGTCTGCGAAGAATCTAGATTCTCCTCCTCCCATGAAAACGGATGCCCATGTGAATCTAGCTTCCCATTTATTCCTTACCGTGAAGGATAAACTTGATTTAACGGATAGATTTATCGGATCGTATTTCCGACACGCTGATTTGTTAAAAATTTGAGAAGTTTCTCTCTCCTACTTGAGTTGGCAAACACACAAAAAGCCAAGACCTGCGTATCAAACAAATATACAACTTGATTCCTCTTGCTCATGCCGTACCAATTGATATATATCCTTCCTTCCCTCCCTCCCCTGTGTGTTGGTCAATCTCCATGGACAACCAGAACACTCAGAGTGGAGGCAAAAGAGTAGGAGGCGGAGGAGCTGCTCTTCACGTGGTGGTGTTTCCATGGCTGGCCATGGGCCACATCATCCCCTTCTTCCGCTTCTCCACCCTCATAGCTCAAAAGGGTCACACCGTCGCCTTCGTTTCCACCCCAAGAAACCTCTCCAGACTTCCCAGGATACCCTCCCACCTCTCCTCCCTCATCAACCTCGTCTCCCTCCCTCTCCCCCGCCTTCCTAACCTCCCAAAAGACGCCGAATCATCCGCCGACGTCCCCTTCCACAAGCAGCAACTACTCAAAACGGCCTTCGACATGCTCCAACCCCTGTTGACCGCTTTCCTCGAGTCCTCAAGACCCGACTGGGTTATTTACGACTATACCCCTCACTGGCTTCCCGCCACCGCCGCCAGGCTCGGCATCTCACGCGCCTTCTTCTGCTGCTTCAACGCCGCCTGCATGTCCTACATCGGCCCGCCGTCTCTTCTAGTCAGCGGCAAGGATGGGAGGACCAAGGCCGAGGATTTCACGGTGGTCCCCAAGTGGGTCCCGTTCGAGTCCGACATGGCGTATCGGCTCCACGAGATTGCCAAGTGGGTGGAAAGATCAAGCGAAGACGAGTCGGTCACTCCCGATACGGTGCGTTTTGGGTTTACGATTGAGGAGAGCGACGTTGTGTTTATTAGAAGCTCTGAGGAGTTGGAGCCCGAGTGGTTAAATTTGATGAGACAACTTTACCGCGAGGTAAAAGTAAAACCCGTTGTTCCGGTCGGATTTTTACCGCCAAACATAGAAGAGGAGGCAATTAGTGAATTTGATGAAACATGGGGTGGCACTGAAGAGTGGTTGGACAAGCAACGAGTCAACTCAGTTGTATACGTTGCGCTTGGGACCGAGGCGACACTGAGTCAGGAGGAACTCAACGAGTTGGCTCTCGGGTTGGAGCTATCCGGGGAACGCTTCTTTTGGGTGTTGAGAAACCCGCCCGAGTCGACTCAGTCAGTGTTGGAGATGCTCCCTCCTGGATTTGTGGAACGAGTCAAGGGTCGAGGAGTGGTACACTTGGGGTGGGCTCCGCAAGTGCGCATACTGAGTCATGACTCGGTGGGGGGATTCTTGACTCACTGCGGTTGGAACTCAATGATCGAAGGGCTCGTGTTCGGGCGGGTTTTGATGTTTTTTCCGATGGTGAACGACCAAGGGCTTAATGCTCGATTGGGGAATGGGAAGGGGCTCGGGGTGGAAATACCTAGGAACGAGCGAGACGGGTCGTTTGCGGGTGACTCAGTGGCTGAGCTTGTAAGGTTGGCAATGGTGGATGACTCGGGTGAATCGTTAAGGACTAGGGCCAAGGAAATGAAGGATTTGTTTGGAGATAGAAACAAGAACAGTCGGATGGTGGATGAATTCATATGTTTTCTCGAGGAGAATAGGCCACCGAGGGTTACAGAATAACTTTACTAGGCAAGTTTATGTCACAAATTGCAACAAAAATGTGTACTTTTTAAATAATATGAAACTTGTTCCGACGTTCGAAACAAACGTATCACTGGAATTATACATGAAAGTCATCCGAAAAAGGGTGAACAATTGTTTGCAAGAGTTCATGATGCAAGTTAAAGAAAGGAAACTACATCAGAATTTTTGTAAGAAAGACGCATAAATTTTAACTTCTCATAAATAATCACATACTTTCTCAATTTCTATAAATATGAAAGCCCTACAGTCATCAAAAAAACTTTTACATTCTCAATTTCTATAATATTCTATACGCATTGAACCTAAAATTTACTAGTCAGCCCATACCCCACGGCTGGAATTCTCTCATTAAAATAACGAGTTTAAAATAGTTAATCTAATACCATTAGGCTTTTATTAACATATACCTAAACTAACTAGTGAAAGCAAGTGTATGATCTTGAGATTATCTAGCTAGTTTAACTACATGCATATAAAATTCTATCTGTTTGTATATGCATGGATGCCTACTCCATAATTAAGCTGCATTTAAATTGTTTGGTGGATCTTACTCAAAAGTTACATGGACATTATTATTAAATTGTTTGGCCTGGATCATTAACTCAAATTGTTTCGTGGCTTATGTTGCATCGAATTGTTTGGTGGATCATTAATTAAAGGGAGTTTTAACGAAACACTTCTGGTACTGTTTACTTTTAACGAAAAACTACATTTTTACATTTTCCTGGTACTATTTTTTGAACTATTTATTAGTTTTCCTTTAATTAAATTGTTTGAGATCTACTCTAGGGATTAATTTTATCATGCAAGTACTACTTAATCAAGGGGATTTAATGTAGGTTATATATATATGTCATGCATGAACATATGTATAAATATGACTAAAATCGTACTTTTTACATGTACGACATGCATGTCAATTAATGATCTTATTTAAGCTCTATATCACCACATATGTCCCCTAAAATGTAGTTGTAAACATAATCAACATATATAAAAATAAGGTGATCTTCTCATTGTTAGAGAGTTTTGTAATATCCTATATATTGAGTCTATATGAAAGAGTACTTAACACAATCATGGTTCATTAAAGCCTTGTGATTTGGATTGCTAATATTGCAAAGACGTGGTCGTCGTATGCTAGGAGACAAACGCCGATCAACCATGAGCACAATATAGTGTGGCGTAAATACTTTGTCTTAAGGACACAATATGTAAAATTTGCCTCGACCATATTTCCCAAATTTTTTTAAATTCATTATGTCATGTTCATTTAACATTGATTATTCATGTGCATGCATTACTTTGAAGATTCAAAGAGATCATATATTGAATTGCATGACTATATTTTGTTTTTGCTCGTCTAATGAATCGTTGCAATGAATCGTATTCTTACCGTAGAATTGATTGGTATTTCCATTTTACATATGAATTATGATTCATGCTGACAAATTAATTATTTAGTTGTCTCTTTGTTTGACAAACCAATTTCACATATTTTATCATGTGTCAATTTTAATTTAGTTGTCTCTCTGACTGTTTCAAAGCCGAACAAATGCATGAGGGAAAGAGACGCGCGCCATTTTTCCAAAAACGTTGGATTATATGTCAACTTAAGAAGAATGAAAAAGTAATTTACTTCTAGAAAGTGGAAAATATTATCTCTTACTATGATATTTTTAAGGTCTTGAATACCTTAAATGTGGGGGAAATTTACTCAAGTGTTGGCAAATTACTTAGTAATTAAGTCCTAATATACGTCTGGAGGACTTAACGTAGGAAAACAACTACTCTCAAACGAAATTTATTTCCATGCATTGATAGGTTTTGTGATGGCCATATATATAGAATGTATAAGTAGTCAACCTAGCGGTACCAATTATTAAAAGATTGACTAGAGGAAGTTGCATCAACGAGGGGAATGGGGTAAAAGCTTATACTTAGAGTAGTACAGTGAAAATCCAACCTAGTTGACTAGAGATCTCAAAATCTAGGTTCAAAATGGACAACTAAATTATGAGAACTTGGAGTAACATTGCGGAGATATAATCTCCTACCCATGTCATGTGATGATATTACCTGTCATTGAGATTAGGGTTAAACTTTATGATTTCAATGATTCCTACAGCTACTTAGAAGTCCAAGTGGTGTAGGTATTGCAAGATAATATACAACAAATGAATAAAACTTACATTTAGATACCGAAAATAAAATTAAGACTTGCATTTCTTCACTTGCAAATAACACATCAATACTGTAATTTTTTTATAATTATTGTTAAATTTCTTAATTTTCATTTAAAGATCATCCAAACAAAAAAAATAATTTAAATAAAGACCAATTTTGTCATTCAACTATATCAATAAATAGATGATTCATGATTAATAATATGTTATTTACTACCTATACAATTAATTTATTTGATACACTAAAATAACTAATCGGTCTGTAAATCAAATGACTTTTTGTAAGAATAATTTTCAAACTTCCACTTTGAATACTTCTTGTACTTGAGTTGACAACACACAAAAGGTCAAGACTTGCTTACTCTTTCTAAATCCGTCCGTATATTCCACCTCCCCTATCCTCTGCTCTGTGTTGATCAATCTCCACGGACAACCAGAACACTCAGAGTGGACACAGGTCAATCTCCATGGACAACCAGAACACTCAGAGTGGAGGCCAAGGATGAGGAGGCGGAGGAGCTGCTCTTCACGTGGTGGTGTTTCCATGGCTGGCCATGGGCCACCTCATCCCCTTCTTCCACCTTTCCACCCTCATAGCTCAAAAGGGTCACACCGTCTCCTTCGTCTCCACCCCAAGAAACCTCTCCAGACTTCGCAAAATACCCTCCCACCTCTCCTCCCTCGTCAACCTCGTCTCCTTCCCTCTCCCCCGCCTCCCTAACCTCCCAAACGACGCCGAATCATCAACCGACGTCCCCTTCCACAAGCAGCAACTACTCAAAACGGCTTTCGACATGCTACAAACCCCGCTGACCGCTTTCCTGGAGTCCTCAAGACCCGACTGGGTTATTTACGACTATGCCCCTCACTGGCTTCCCGCCATAGCCGCCAGGCTCGGGGTCTCGCACGCCTTCTTCTGCTGCGTCAACGCCGCCTGCCTGGCCTACCTCGGCCCGCCGTCGGTTCTGATCAGCGGCCAGGATGGGAGGACCAAGGCCGAGGATTTCACGGTGGTCCCCAAGTGGGTCCCGTTCGAGTCCGACTTGGCGTATCGGCTCCACGAGATTGCCAAGTGGGTGCAAGCATCAAGCGGGAACGAGTCGGGCACTCAGGATACGGTGCGTTTTGGGGTTGCGATTAAGGAGAGCGACGTTGTGTTTGTTAGAAGCTCTGACGAGTTTGAGCCCGAGTGGTTAAATTTGGTGAGAGAGCTTTACCGCGAGGTAAAAGTAAAACCCGTTGTTCCGGTTGGATTTCTACCGCCAAACATAGAAGAGGAGGCAAGTGAATATGATGAAACATGGGGTGGCATTAAAGGGTGGTTTGACAAGCAACGAGTCAACTCGGTGGTTTACATTGCACTCGGGACCGAAGCGACACTGAGTCAGGAGGAACTCACCGAGTTGGCTCTCGGGTTGGAGATGTCCGGGGTACCCTTCTTTTGGGTGTTGAGAAACCCGCCCGAGTCGACTCAATCAGTGTCGGAGATGCTTCCTCCAGGGTTTGTGGAACGAGTCAAGGGTCGAGGTGTGGTACACTTGGGGTGGGCTCCGCAAGTGCGCATACTGAGTCATGACTCGGTGGGGGATTCTTGACTCACTGCGGTTGGAACTCAATGATCGAAGGGCTCGTGTTCGGACGGGTTTTGATGTTTTTTTCCGATGGTGAACGACCAAGGGCTTAATGCTCGATTGGGGAATGGAAGGGGGCTCGGGGTGGAAATACCTAGGAACGAGCGAGACGGGTCGTTTACTCGTGACTCGGTGGCTGAGTTTGTAAGGTTGGCAGTGGTGGACGACTCGGGTGAATCGTTAAGGACTAGGGCTAAGGAAATGAAGGATTTGTTTAGAGACAGAAATAAGAACAATCGAATAGTGGATGAATTCATATGTTTTCTCGAAGAGAATAGGCCACCGAGGGTTACAGAATAACTTTACTAGGCAAGTTTATGTCACAAATTGCAACAAAAATGTGTACCTCTGAAATAACATGAAACTTGTTCCGACATTCGAAACAAAAGTATCACTGGAATTATACATGAAAGCCATCTGAAAAACGGCACACAATTGTTTGCAAAAGTCCACAATGCAAGTTAAAGAAGGGAAAATGCATCAGAATTTTGGAAACAAAGGTTTAGAATCAACCGCAAGCACATAAGTTTCGTACCTGTTCGTGTCAATACAAATCAGAGCAGCTTGTGGGAGCTCTATTTACCAATATGTTCACGAGCACACTCGTATTAGAACATCATTCTGTACAGATAGAGCGTATTCGCAAGCGAAACAACCACAAATTGGAAAAACCTTATCTGCTGAGAGCGAATGTTAACGAATACCCCACACATAAGCGTTACTACAAAAAAAGCATCACAGCCCACCTATGGAAAACCGTAACTACTAAAATACCCGTAACTTCAGATGATTTATGCAAACTAAATATGCTACACAGGAAAGAAAAAAGGGGGTTTCATTGCTTTAGACAAAATAAAAGGCATTGCAACCCGTCTATACAAAGTTCGGAGGATTAACGCTAGCTATTTGGGAAAGGAAAAATCAGAGTTGGCCTGCCACTGGTTAATACACAATATTTGAAATCTAACCTACCAAGAACATATAGTACAGGTATGTGTTGACGCCCCACAGGGTGGCAATGAAGTGCTATAAGTTTTAAGAAGCCAGTATTTTACCTTATTTTGAAACGTTGCAGAAAAATTCACCTCACCAAGTTTTCGAGCTCTGAATGTGTTACATTAAAATAACTGGAGCTTGAACAGGCTTGAAACAAAATGTTCATGCAATTCTTGCGCAACTGCATGTAATCCAGTTCATTGTCTTGACACGCCAAAACGTCAAGGAGATGAAACCAAAATCAAAATGAGTCTGAGGCCTGGCATGCGATGACATGGCTCAATATTCTGAGATATTTTACAGACTCCTG